TGGGTCTAACTTTTACATTTGTAAAGCCTCAAATTGGGGGTTCCTCAAGTTAGAGAAACTAAGAATTCTTTCAAAAGTGATCATATACAAGAAGTCATGGTTAATATGGGTAACTCATATTATCTGCCGGTTCACCCGTTTTTTATCCGTATTAAATATGGGTCGGGTCGGATAATTGATCCGTTTTTTCATTACCCGTTTTCAACCCGAACCATATCCGACCCGACCCGCCCGTTTGTCACTCCTACATGGGATAAACTCTTCTTAAATTTAGTCATGAGATTAATTATTCCTTATACCTCATACCAAACGAGCCCTAATAATTGAAAGTTCCCGCAAGTTGTTCGCTTATATTAAATGTGTCTAACGGGCCGGGTTGATCCGGAACCGGCCCGGCCCATACCGGTTAAAACCGGAACCGGACTGGCCCGGTTCATAAGGGGCCGGGTGGGCTGGGTAGGAGGGGTAGAGGGGGTTGGACCGTTTACTATTTTTTACCGGTTAACCGGACCCGTTAAACCCGGTCTAATGAATAGTGCCTCTAACCGGTTTAACCGGCCCGACCCAGACCATGAATATACCATGAATATACCATTAATATACCATGAATATACCAATTATTGTATACTAATTAACATAGTTTAAAATTGTTGGAATTTGTATATATTTAGGCTATAAAACTATAAATGCTAAAATCATAGAATATGATGGTAACGTATTATTTTTAAAATATGCTATATATGTGTTATTTTAAGATTTTAAAACAATTTGTGTTATTTTAAATTATTAGACATATTTATGCTTAATGATTTAGTTTGTTAGATTAATTTGAAGTATTATTAATTTATTATGCATGAAAATTTAGTTTACTATTTATTTGTTAATTTACTTTTTAAATGCAAACTTTAATTTTGTAATTTTGAAATAAATATAGCACTTGCAATTTATAAGTGTAATTTTTTCCTATCTTCCTTGTATTATTTATGTTAGTACTTTGTATTAATACTATAACTTACTATATTTATACAAAATCCAAAAAAAAAAATTTAAAATTATACTAAACCCGGCCTGGCCCGCCCTCTCAACCCGTAACCCTTATGGTTCAATTTTTACACCTGAACCCGTTAAACCCGTTAAGACCCAAACCGTAACCGGCCCGAATCGTAATCCGTATGGGTCCAAAAAATATAGGCCCGGCCCGGCCCACCCGTTAAACACCTTTATAGTAAACGCATCGGCCTAAGGACCGTCAAGAGACGGGCTTCCCCGAACCATGGAGTCGGAACTGAATACAATAACCATACACCTGGTCTCAGCCACTGACTCGCCCGAGTTCAACCATCTGACTCGGACATTAACTCACTCTTCCGTCATCGGACTCGACGCCGAATGGAAGCCCATTCGAACCCAACAGTCCGCTTTCCCCACTGTCTCTCTTCTTCAAATCGCTTGCCAGCTCGCCGGCGCCGACGATTCGTCGATCGAATCACCAGTCTTCTTAATCGACCTAGCATCAATCCATTTACCATCAATTTACCATCTCATCAGGGATGCGTTTGTCTCGCCGTATATACTAAAATTGGGATTTAGGTTCAAGCAGGATTTGGTGTATTTGTCTTCTACTTTCTGCTCTCAAGGCTGTGAACCCGGTTTCGACAGGGTTAGTTTTGTTTCTTAAAACTGGCTGTGTATTTACAGTAAATGTTCGAAGCTTTTATATGTTTATATGGCTTTTCCCTTCATATATGCTCTAGGTTGCTTAAAATCTGCAGCTCGCTAAAATTTTATCTTACTTTTTTGTTATAACTAGCCTAGATTGTAAAAGAATTGTTGTTTTATCAATATGTTATTGCTGCAGTTAATATTTGTTATTTGCTAAAGTACTTGGACATTTTTCTCTTCAAGCTATCTTGGTTCAAGTAACACATTCTACAAGCTGTACACCTGTATGATTGGTTACCTTTATATAGAACTGATTTAGTTGTTTTATTTGGGTAATACTTGTCGTATACTAGCTAATAGTTGGTGACTAGGTGGAACCCTTTTTAGATATTACAAGCATATACAATAACCTGCAACCCAGGCAACCAGGGAGAAGATTGTCGAAGCAAATAAAGAGCTTGGCGACAATTTGTCAGGAAGTTTTGGGAATTTCTCTATCAAAGGTGTGCAATCTTGATGCTGACGTTTTGTTAGCCAGGAAGATAAATATGGTTTGATTATAGAAAGATTTGTTTCAATTTAGTGCATCTTGATTGCAGGAACTGCAATGCAGCGATTGGTCACAGCGACCTCTGACAGAAGAGCAAATGCAATATGCAGCAGCTGATGCTCATTGCTTAATTCATATCTTTGATGTCTTCAAGGTTAAGGTTGTGAAAGAAGGTTGGTGAAGTACCTTTCTTGTCTTGTTCTAGTGCATGCCCATGTGTTACAACTTCCATGAAGCAGCTCTGACACACCAGTAACCAACTTCCCTGATTGCAAAGATTGTTCTTTCTAAAGCAGAAAGTCAGGTGTCTTGGGTATGTTCACTAGGGGATTTCTATTGGAGTATAATGCTCTCCTTTTGAACAACAAAGCCCGGGGGGGGGGGGGTAGTATGACCATTTAAAGAAGTGCGGTGATTGGAGAGAGATTAATCCAATTTTGGACCTATTTTTGTACCTCACTTGTCCAATTAGATTTTCAGTTCTCAATTTTCGATATGTGATATCCAAGAATAAATGGTAAATAAAACGGACAGTTATGTCCTGTCAGCCATCAGGAGCTACAGACCATCACACGGGCAAAGAAACTCATCTTTCACTGCATTATCTCTATCTGGTCTGTTCTCTTTACATTTGGTTAAATGGTCCATTTCAGGGAATTCTGTCCAAAGTATAACTGGCCTCCAGATGAGACTGGATCTTGGGCTGAAGCAGATACTTGACACACTTCAAACCTCTAACAAAATGTGTAGCATCAAATTTGGTGAAGCTTCAAAGATGGTGCAAGCTATTGCACCTGATTTTTGTAAAACAGTCCCCATCTCAGAGGAAGTGGTTACCGCACTGTCACCTGATCAAGCTAATCAGATGGATAACGTGCTTTCACGAATTGTCCGAAAGTATGGTGATAAAATTTTGTTAACTGAATCTGACAGAAAGCCAAAGATCTCGAGAAAGAAAGCAAGGAAATCATCTGGTAGAATAGCAAACAAACAAAGGCCAACAGAAGGTGATGAAGAATGGCAAGGTCCTCCACCCTGGGATGTGACCTCCGGTGGGGATGGGTCCCCTAAGTTTCTATGTGATGTGATGGTGAGATACCACATTTTAGCTACAGATATTGCTTTTCTATAAAACTGATACGCCTAGACTTCTTTACTGCCCTCTCTTGCTGTGAGGTGGAGAGTTCTGTTTTTCTCTCTATTTGGGAGGCCAAACTATGGCACTTTTGCTTCTTTTTCTGGCTGTCATTGGAACGTTGTAGTAATCTTTCAGGTTGAAGGATTGGCGAAACATTTAAGATGTGTTGGCATTGATGCTGCTGTTCCTTATTCAAAGAAGCCTCAATCAAGGTGCTGAATGGCTTTCGATTACTTGACCTAGTTGATTCTAAGTGGAACTCAGTAGCCATATTTTTTTTCCCTATATGACATCCCTTGTGATATCTTTTCTGTCTTTTGTTTTTTTCAGGGACTTAATAGAACAAGCATGTAAAGAGAAGAGAATACTCTTAACACGGGATGCAAAACTTCTGAGGCATGATTATCTCTTAAAAAATCAGATATACCGGGTGAAGAGTCTTCTAAAGAACGATCAGTTGGTTGAGGTAAATTGAATGCCTTTAAATTCTAGCGAATGAAGTTTGATAATCAATTTTTTTTTANTAAAGTAACGAGTACAGTTAGGTTGTAGGTAATTAGAATGCCTTTAATTACTTAGCGAATGAAGTTTGTAGTAATCAATTTTTTTAACTTAGTAATGATGAATGAAATGAGAAGGAGAGGGGGGGGGGGGGAGCATGGAGAGGAAAAGTGAACACTATTGAAAATCTTGTCGACCGTCCACTCATGGAAATATTACCTTGTATATACAGATAATAGAAACCTTTCAATTGGAAATCTCTGAGGACCAGCTGATGTCAAGGTGCACAAAATGCAATGGTAAGTTCATCCAAAGACCTCTGACAACCGAAGAAGCTGTTGAAGCAGCTAAGGGATTTCAGGTGATTCCAAACTGCTTGTTTAACAAGAATTTGGAATTTTGGCAATGCATGGATTGCAAGCAACTTTATTGGGAGGTAGGCCTTCAGTTGGTACTTTATTCCATCAAATTTTGTTGGGTTCTGTGTACTGCACCAGATACTATTTCCCTGCACTTCCCCCTAATGTAGAGAAATAGAGATATATACAATTGGAATGGAACTTGTAGTGGATTTTTCCCCTGCCATCACGCATGTTTACACAATGAAAACTGTTTTTATGTGTGACATTTCTGAGCCTATGCAAAGTTCTGGGTCTGTTAGTTTTGCTGATAGTGAAAAACAGTTTCTGCACCTACAAATTTTTCTTTTTCGGATGAGGAGCACATGCAAGTGGAAAAAATTAATTCTCATAATCTATCAAGAATATTGTCATAGTTTAAAATTGGCAGTGGCGAATTCCGTTCTATGTGATCTTTGGACTGGTTGGAGCATTTGTCTCCAATGGGATGTATGAGTGGTTAAGGCATAGAGTAGAGCTGCAACTCATAGATCTCAGGTTTGGATCCAAGCTACGATAATAAGCTTAAGTCCATTTACTCCAGCCTTGACGGGCAGGTTTTTAGGCACCTGCATTTGTGAGTTGTAGCAGGCTGCTCGATGGATTATCTAAGTGTGCACAAGCTGGCCTGGACACCATCCTCGTCAGAATTTTTAATAATAAAAAGAAATTACTAGCATTTATTTGCAGTAAAAGGCCCTTTCCAATTATACCTCCTCCTTTGCAGGTAGACCTGCTCTTTTAGGTCATATTGTATCTCATTACAGAGGTTAGTTTGTTGAGGTAACAACACTGGTTTACAGAATTGATAACCATAATCTAAATTATTTTTGTGTACCATTTCAATGTTGTGAGAAGATAACACAATGTGGGATCTGATATTGGAGTGTGGTTATCGGCCCAATATCAACCTCAAGTTTATTCCCATATTACTGTGATGTAAAAATAGTATATACCAGAATAGCAGATTGCAGAACTGGGTCTGAGAAAAACATCACTCTGCTGCTATGCCCATCCAATTTTCTTTTCCCTGTGTCCTCATCTTAGTTATGGGGGCGCTCATTTGGAGTTCTCTGTCTCCTTTGGCCTTTCTAAATGATGTTGCCGATCGTGAAGAATCATAGCGGCAACCAGTTATATTAAAAGCTTTTATAAAACAGGTGATGTTCTCATAGAAAATAAAAAGACGTGAACTTCTTTCAGAAACAATGAAAGATGCTCTCGGTCTGGGTTCTCAACGTCATTAGCAGCCAATCTAGCAGACAAAACACCAGTGTAGCGTTGATGCATGTCAACAACTCCTCACTAGGCTAAAGCCAACAACAGTGGCTCCTTCGTCACCCCCAACCCCCCAGAAAATTCAAAAGTTGGAAAAAAGATACGGGAAAAAATGTTCTCAGCCTGCTAACAATAGCCCCCTCCTACAATTATCAAGCCAGTCCCTCACGTCTCCACCAGAGGTTTATGGCTACCTCTCTCCAGCTTCGACACTTTATATTCGTCCCTCAGGCCTTGCAACTACTGCATTTTTCATTCCCCCTACTGGGCCGGATCCAGCTTATTAGATCTGGGTTCCCGTGAACCCAGTAGCTTTTGCATATACCTGTTGATGTGTTAAAATATCCGCTAAATATCCATAAATATTTGAGTGTGAACTCAGTTACTTATTGTATATTTACTTAAGGTCGTTATAGGAACCCATAAACTTTAAATCTTGGATCCGTCTTTGCCCCTACACGTAGTCTCTTGCTATTGTGGCATAGTTGAATTGCTGAATAGTACCTTCGAGGCATGCAGGGTTTGATCTGTTCCAATAATTACTGCTACCTCAGGTGACAGTATGGTCTGGGATTTTTGTGAATAACTGGTCACGCAATGTTAAGGGCTATTGCGTTTTCAGTTAGAGTGCATGAGAAATTTGCCATGGTAAACGGAATAATAGATCAGAAAGGAATAAATAGCTGTGTTTTCCTGTCTCAAGGCAACGTAGCACTTGATGTGTGGGTAGCGCAGCGGGTTCGAATCCTGCTGTGGACAAAGCTCAGTACTCAGTATTTAAGTTTGAAGGAAAAGTAGAGGGGAGGACCGATACTCCCTAGAGCTTTGAACCTGTGCGCCAACTAGAGCCGGACCAGAAGCCCACGGGTTTATCTTGATGTCCTCCCCCCCGCCCCCCCCCCCCCCCCCCCCCCCCCCCCCCCAAAAAAAATTTGCCATTTTTTTGCTGATAAATAATTTCAATAGTGAGAAGAAAGGGAAGTCTTTTTGTCACCATCAAGCTGCTTTTCAATAGTATGGAGTTCTTTCTGTTTATATTAAATTACAAGGGGAAAAAAAATATTTCTGTTTTTGAGAAACTAAGTGGGCTTTTGGACATAAGAATTGTTAAATTTCAAAAAAAGGATGAAAAAAATTTTCAAGTAAAAAATGTATTTGAATTTTGAGTTGTGTTTGGACATGAATATAAGTTTTGGGTTGTTTTTTGAAGTTTTGTGAGTGATTTGAGTGAAAATTTTGAAAAATAGGTTTTTGGAGTTTTTATCAAATTTTTCAAAAATTTCCAAAATGAATCTTCAAGTGAAAAATTGGAAATTTATGAACAAACGCTGATATCGGAAAAAAGTGGAAATTTTTTTGAAAAAAAGGGAAAACATTTCTTCTGTCCAAACGGGCGAGAATGTTCAGTTCACTCCCCTAGAGAATTGCATGTTCACTTATATCAATGCATCGAAGAGTCAATGTAGATGGATGTATCAAAGATTGTGTAAATAAAGAGTATATTAGCTTGTGTGTTTGGGTGGTTGTCTTCTCTGCCCTTCACCAACTACCCCTCCACCCCCCCCCCCCCCCCCCCCCTAAAAAAAAAAAACACATCGTTTCCTTTCTTTTATACATTAACAGGGCCTGGTGTTTATTGGTTTTTCTTTTTTTTTCTTTCTTGTTCATCTCTTCTTTAACTCTTTGCTGTGGTTGTCTATTTGATGATGCTGTTGCAGGGGACTCAATACCACAATGCAGTGCAAAAATTTGTCGATGTGTGCAAGCTGAACGAATGAAATGGCCATGATACCTGTGAACTGATTGAGACACCCCCATTCGCCAGATTGCTATGCCAATATTGTTGTAACCTTTAGTTTATTCATCTCCACTCCCCCATATATGCCTCACTAGATGCTATCCTGTTCAGGAAATGCCAGCGGCTTTTATTTTTATCTGCTGTTATGTACCTGAACCATATTGGCTACTTTGAAAGAACTGCAATTGGTCTAAGTTGCTTGAATTATTTGCCATATTGCTTCTTGTAAGTTTATAGTGCTTTTCAATTACGTCCTTTTCTATGCATGAAGGCGTCAAGAAAATGACTTTGGCATTCACTTTTGGGCCGGTTAGTATAGTATAAATTATTTAGGTTTGTCTTATTCTTCTTATATGGAGTTAGAGCGAACCAAAAAGTAATGGAAATGGCTTTAAAATCTCTTGTCCCACCATAAAAAGCGATATTTGACCTGGGGAAAAAACGTTAATTTGCTTTACTCCTTTGTTGTGGATTACACTTTTGTGCTTCTCTATTACAAAAGAGAAATTTTTTTGTGTTAAATGACCGTAATGTACGGACTTAAATCACTCCATTAAGAATAGTAGAGTGGAGAACATAAGTTATCTTTGTTATATCTTGTTTGATGTGATTGACTGAAGGGCACAAAGCTAACAAATAATTGGACCTAGAAGATTTAAGTATCTTTAAACATGGACCTTATTTTTATTTTCTTTGCTGCATCGTCAAAGCACTAGAAACATAAAGTTGACAGATGATAGAATATTATAGTAACGAGATGGAAAGCATTATGTACAGGTAGGAAGAAAGTGGGAAGCTTCAAGTAACCAACTTGTCGTCAATAAATAAACGTAATTCAATTCATCCCACTTAGGTCGGTTTTAGTTGGTCCTAATGAGACTTGAAAATAAGCTACTTTTTGCTCTATTCTTCTAAATTTTAAAAGCAAGAACACAGTAAAGGACACGCCTTTCTTGATTAAGCTCATAATGTGCAGTTTTAGAGCCACATGCTATGAAGGAAATTAAACGGTACTTTATATTGCATAATTAAATAGAATAAAAACAAATATATATAAATTTTTGAATCTCCTTAACATAAGAAAAAATCTCTAGCGTTGCATGTTGGATTGTTTCATACTTCCTCATCAGAATTTTTGATTCCACCACTATTCGAACCGACTACTGAAATACTAAGACAATCCTTGCTTAATTTAGGATACGTATCGAAACATGATTCAATTCCCACTGACTATAATGTTATTTAACTTTTTCTTTTAACCCTTTTACGAAAATCCTGAGTCACTGTTAGTGTGTGCAGCAAATATTTATTTACCGAACTAGGTTGACGCTCGTAAGCTCACAATTCAAAAGTGTAGGTTCGAGTGACGTGTAACGCACTATGAGTTTGCCTCCCCACGTACGAAAGTGTTGATGATGAATGATTCGGAGCGAGAGACATCGTCGGGAAGGCGGCCGTCAAATCAGCACCGCCTGCTTGGATTCCCTCCTTCTGTTTGTTCTGCAGACAACGGCCCTCATTACACCATTCCACATTTCAATTGTTTTTCTTTCTTTTCGGCTCATCACCGCAAATCTAAATATTCTTCGTCCTTCCTCCACGTTTTCCTTTTGGACGTTTCGTCCTACCATTGGCTATTCAGGTTGGCCCCATTTGCTCCTTACTCTTTTCTGTCGCCGCGTGTTGTTTTTTGGGCTGCCTTTCTTGGGGTGTTGGTTTATCTGCATTTCCTTCGCTAGCTGAAATGGACTAAAAAAGGTTTTTTTTCTTTTTTTTTTTTTGTTTCTGTTTCGTTTTGTTTTTTCGTGAACGTATATGTGGTTATGGAGAATAGTAGTTTACAAATATGTTTGTAGTTGTGACTGAGTATTTTGATGTGGGGTTAAATGAAAATGGAAGTTTTGTTGTTTGTATTGCGTTTCTTCTGAAAACAATAAACTTGTTACTCGCCGAGACGAATCTAGTATAGATTTGGTTTAGGTGAATTCAGCAATTTTGACTCACGCACACACGCGTGTTACTGTATGTGTAAGAAAAATCATTGAAACTTTAACGACTAACACACAACAGATTTAATAAACATTTTTTCAAAGATTCAACTCATATAATTTACAACTCGCTTGTTAGTTCATAACTTGTTCCTTTGGAAGTGGGCTGGAAATCCTGTCAAAGATAATTAAATATGTGGATTGTATAATTTTTTCTTAATATCTATTTTAATGGACCAACGTACTATTTATTCACAATGTCGGTCACATACAATGATGACATTTAATATTTATATTTATAATAAGATGGAGGTAGAGGATCCTCTTAATTAAGCTAAAACTACACTCCACAAGATCACTAAACAAGATTTGCGCAATATTCTTCTGAAGAAGTAGCGTAAAGTATAGATTGGTTCACTTTCAAAATTTTGGAGGATCAAGATTACAGTCATACTTAACGATTTATCGTTTAAAAACTTAATACTTCAAAGTTGGCATGTCAAAATTAAGAATGGACAATACCATTCAGCCAAACAATATTCTCTTATCTGCATCTACCGATTTTAGCCGGTCTCAATTACTCCCTCCGGTCCAAAATAAGTGATTTTTTGGCATTTTTCTTGTGGTAAAAAATAAGTGATTTTCCAGATTTCAAGAATGAATTAATTATTTTTTTCCTACATTGTCCTTGAAGTAAATGGTGTTGGAATATGTGTTAGGAGTGTTTATGTGAGATAGTAAAGGTTAATATGGTCAATTCCATTGCTAATTAATGCTAAAAGGTGGATTTCTTAATTTGTGTGAAAACATCCAAAAAATCACTTATTTTGGACCAGAGGGAGTACTTTATCACCCAAAAAAAGTCTCAAATGACTGTCTACACAATTTTCATTTCCCAGAGGAATGACCACTCAGAATGGTTTAGGAGAACTGTCTTCAGTACATCACATCTCCTCACTGTGTTCCTTTTTTTTTTCTTTTTTTCTTTTTTTTTCTTGGGAGGGGGGGTGTTCTTTACCGAGTCCGAAACCAAAATGTGGTTCTTTTGGACAAGTAACACCTTAATCGGTGTAAAAAAAAAAGATGACATTTTTATATATAGTGCCCAAATACCGGGCGCTATACATTAACGTTAACTGTGCCGTTAATGTATAGCGCCGAGTATTTGGGCGCTATGTATAAGAAGCTGCCACGACATAAAACTTTATGTATAGCGTCCAGTATTTGGGCGCTATACACCTTTTCCCATCCCCACCAATAATTCCTGACTTCAATAATTCAAAAGCGTATAGTGCCCACTTTTTGGGCGCTATATATATTAAAAAAATAAATTTCCGGCTAGCCATTTCCTATATAAAGAGGTTAGGATTGTATAGAAATTCATTCAAAATATTTTTTAACTCTTGTTGAAACGTTTATTGTTGTTAAATTCTCCAGCATTTTTTCATTATATCTGAAGAGCGTAGAATAAGAGTTTCATTATATTGGGGGGTGAGGTTGTGATGGAGAATAACTCCGTGGGCTACAGTTTACCTGCTCAGTGTCATGTTAAATTGCCACTTACAATGGAGTACGATAAATTGATAGCATTGTTATGCAAAAAAATGAGTGTGAGGAAACGTTCAGTGATACTTAAAGTAACCGGAAGATATCCGTATTCCGTCACTCCGCAAGGGGTTGCTTTTTACTCGGAGTTTAACATCGACGATGATGAAACTTTGAGTGATTTTCTGAGGACTCCGGATGAATGCTGGGAATTTCTTGTAATCACAATGTTGGAGATGTACGTGAAGGTCGAAGACGTTCCAAAAAACGAGGTTGTGCGTAGTAGAGATAACCCCCAGTCATCGGGCGGTTATTCTGGAGCAGTTTTTGCCGGACAGGTTCCGGATGAAAGAGTTTTCCTTGATTTAAACTTATCACCGCCGGTGAATGAGCAGCGAGAAAATAATTTATACCCTGCTTTCCATAATTCACAAGACGAGTGGTAAACTTCAATTTTCATTTGTGTTAATTATGTATATTTTTGGTGTATTGAATTTGTATTAACGCTCATATATTTAATAGGGGGTACCGGCCGGATATGAATTTTATAAGTGGCCTATCCGGTAGTCATCACCTAATTGAAAACGTCCATCATGGAATTTCATCACATTACGACTTGTAAGTGAAGTGATATAGCCATATGGAAAGCATTTATTAATTCAGTAGCTTATATTTTGTCGGTTGTGCAGTGAAAACGAGCAAGTTGAACCACCCGTACTCACTCAATTGCCCGAAAACGACGTATTACATCGGGATCTGGCAGATGCACAGAGTGAGGAACAGAACAGTGATTACGACAACAATGCCGATGAATCCGGAGATGAGACACCCTTTCCTCGTGAGGATGGTGATGCGCAGGATGAGGAGGAAGGACATGATTTGAAGAGAGGCCCCCCTAGACGAAGAGTGTACGAGTCCGAAGTGCCGTTTTATTCAAGGAAGATTCCTTACATTGATAACTTGCCAACCGTGCCGGATGTGGAAGCTCTCACAAGGGATTTTGATGAAATCCGGACAGCAATGTGGGATGAGTCTAGACCAACGGCGCTTGCAAAGGGGATGCTTTTTCCTGATAAAGTGCGCGTAAGCAGGGCTTGTAAAATGCACAACGTAAAAGAGTGTCGTGAGATGCAGGTATGGGAGTCAAGTCCGATGGTATACAAGGTTGTTTGCCGCAGGTGGTTTTGGCCATGTAATTGGATGTTGCGTGCGAGCATGAAGAAGTCAGGTATGTGGAAAGTGGGTAAATACATTCCCACCCACACATGCGAAATGGACACATTCAACGGGAATCACTTGAACTTGGATATTGACTTGATTTCTGTTGTTCTTATTCCACACATCGAAGCGTCCATAAGGTATAAAATCAAAGAGTGCATTACAGCAGTCTACCAGGAACATGGCCATACCATTACTAAAAGAAAGGCATATCTCGGGCGCAAACGAGCATTTGAAATAGTCTATGGTAACTTTGATAAGTCATTTGCAGATCTGCCTAGGTACATGGCTGCACTGCAACAGTTTAACCCCGGGACAGTTGTTGAATGGAAGCTTGAGCGGAGTCAGGGTAAACCAGAATATATATTCAATTACGTGTTCTGGGTGTTTAAACCAGTAATTGATAGTTTTTCGCATTGTCGGCCCGTAATATCCATAGACGGCACTCATGTCTATGGAAAGCACGATATCAAGCTGTTGATAGCCGTGGCAGTAGATGCTAATGGACAGATG